TTCAGACTACAATAGTAGTTATTATTTCTTTTCGCACCAAAGATGCACAAAACGAACGATTGGCAGACATTCATAAACACGTATACGCACATATACGAAGTAAGATATTTAGTGAAAGTGAAGTAAAACCTTCAGAGTAAACACTTAGAGTATACTACACCCTTTACGTATTCCCCTTGTATCATTGTATACACATTTAATTTTTAAAAAATCAATGTGAACTAAAAAATTAACTGAAGAGGAGTGAAAGAGGCACATGTGAATCGGTATTAATGGTGTAATCACAGTAACCTTTGTCAGTCAAGTATCATTACGGAGTAATTTTGTAATAAACAGCGATTTACATAATTGTCACTGGTGTGTTTTAAAATTAAAATAGGATGATGTACTAGGTTTCACAATAATATTAATTATTGGTTAGCGTAATTTACGATTATACAAAGCGATCAGAACATTTTCTGAAATTCGTTAATTAACTATTTGTTGATCCCAAAACTCTGCAGATAATGATGTAGTCCAGAATAAATGGGAGTTTATTTTATTCAGTTAGCTATCCAGATTGAGAATTCATCTTGTAAACGATGCTAATAATAACTTATTGATTTTCTGTTTTAATTAAAACAGAGGGCCATTGTTTTAGCACCCTGTTCTTTGAGTTTTAAAATTTAACCGTTACTAAGGAATGATGGCTTAGCTGTTCAAACACTAGACATGTAAACATTAACTTACTCCTTCGAACTTGGAAATATTTTTTTCAGTTTAGACAGCCGTTAAGCTTGTATGAATAGCCTATAAGCTCAAAACATATGACAGGAAATGGGATGCATCTTTATCTATTAAGTTGCTGAGTTGCGTAAATCTACATATAAAGCTAGGTTTACATCATTTAAAGCTGAAATAGTAGAAATATTTGTGGTTACATCGATTATTTTGTTTTAACCGAATATTTTTGTCGATTAGTCTCAAATTTATCGAAATTGTTTTGAAATATCCCAAGCTAAATAAATACTTTTTTAGTTACTGAAAATTCACAGAAAGTAAACTAACTTAAATGAAAATACAATATGTCCACCCATTACTGTTTATATACAAGAAAGTATTATACAAATGAGCTATAACTTAGTGGTTGAAAGGTTAGACTTTCAGCCAGTAAATTTCAGGTTTGAATCCTGTTCCACTGACTTCCCTTTAGGTAGCCAGGTAGTATCATAAGCTCTACACCTCAACTGAAGCTCATATATGAACATTTGGTAGATGAGTTAATATTATTATTATTATCAATAATATTATAGATAAATGGTCATTCATTCAGGGAAAGTATGAATGTACTCTCTCACAATATCCTCTTCTAAAACAAATTTATAGAAGGTAAAATAAACAACTGTTATTTCATTAATCTGTCAATTTTTCGTTAATACTCCTTTTCGAAACTTAATAATTTTCAAGTTTAATAATTATACTTTCATCATTCATTATATTTACTAGTCAGCTAGATAGCTAGCTTGTTAAATAACATCTATTATAAGATAATTGACATTCTTATGTATTTATAATCATGTTACATCGATATTAAAATGTTTCAAAAAAAATGAGTGCAATCTTCACATAATTTGTATTTTCTTGTCTATCATTTAAATGACGATTCGTGTATATATATGTAGTGAGTAATTACACTGCTTAAGTGATGTTTTAATTATAGTACTGGTTATGAACCAATCAAATCAATAAATGCAGGTAACACACATTTGATTAATGAATTCAACGATTACAATCATTAGAATATGATGCAATCATTCCATTCACATAATTTCAAATGTGAGAATTTGTTTTAAATTGTCAGCATGAATTTTGTAGATTAAGTAACAAAGTTTGATCCATAATTGTGATAAAGTTGATAAATAATATTTATGTCTTATGAGTTTAAAGTACACTAATTGACTGTTTAGTAGTCGTTTATGTTATATCCTAACGGAATTCCTGGAATTCAGTTGCAATGTACCCACTAGTTTAAATGATCTACCATCACGTATGCAGAAAGGATCGATTGGAACATAGTTTTTTTAGTGTAATCTATAATCTGTAAACTTCCGTTTAGTTGAAATTGATGTTCATAGCTCTATCTGTTTATTGATCAGTTGATGTTAAAATTCTGATCATGGAGATAATGAAAAAGGTAGATATCATTTATAACACTATGCGAAAATTCAGTAAGCTTTAGTGGCCTGATAAAAATACTTAGCTTATTTCACGAAATTATTATTATCATAAGCATAACTGAATGGAAACACTAAGTATTTCAAAGGTAACTAATATTGAGTATACACACAAATCAACTACAATTACATTTTTGTAATTCAACATCTTTTGTGATGGCACAATAGTTAAGCTTAGTAAAAAATATTCCAGATTACGCTGAAAGACTATAGGATCTCGTGAAATAAAACAATTTCACATGCTAAGACGTTCAAGTGTCTAAGAATGAATATAACTAGAAACAAAAGAGTTTTCATTCAAATTGATGTAAAAGTAACGTAAACAAGTAATCAATCGTTTTCCAGGAGTTTTGTATTTATTTACAAACAATGCTGTACGAAATCATAAATTATATTACTAGGTGGAATGTTCAGAAAAAGCTTTAAGATATTGTTGTTCTTCCCTTAGAAAGAAATTTCCCAACGAACCGTTATTGCTTATTTTGTAGGTTCATTCATTGTACTCTAACTGGGTTCTGGAAGTTTTACATTGCAATTTCTATTGTTGTTATGAGTTTATATACTTAAAAATTTTTTAAAAAGTAGAAGAAATACCTATCTGACATTCTCTGTTTTTTTAATAGTCTCTTATCTGACATAAATTTTTTGTGTTATAATTATTTTTAATTGATACAGAATTTCTATACACTCACCTAGATACATACATTTGTTCCAATGAGATGATAAAATAAAAGCAGCTAATTATTTAAAAAAATTAATTGTTGAATGCAATGTCTTGTTGAATAATTGGTGATTGATATTAAGTAGTTTTAATCAATAATATACTTTTAGACTTTTGATTATAGTTTGTTTTATAACAGCAGATTATATGGGTGTTTATCACAAGTAGTATGATAAACTCAATTGGTATTATTTGCTTAGATCTTCCCATTGACATTTAGGACTTCAATTGATCGGTCTCTTATTGATAATATTGAGGCAATACGCACAGTATGCATATATTGTCAATAAGAGACTGATCAATTGAAGTCCTAAACATCAATGGGATGATACAAGTAAACAGTATCAAGTAAATTTAAACTTCACCACATTGCATAAACAAGTGGCTATCAGGAATCAGTAGCTAAGTGGATGACGCGATGATGTTTGAAGTGAACGGTACTGGTTTCGATTCTCAGAGTGAACATCAACTCTAAGATGCAGGTACATCCTACTGACGAGTCTCAAATAGGACGAATTGCGCGTTTTAGATTTCATTGCTAGCCACTATCCATCATTGCTTAGTATAATAAGCTATTTAAGACTTTGTTAAACATAATTAAAGAACATTTATATTGTGTACCTAAATCTATTTTTTCTAAAAATACTTGTGTTATGGAAATGTCAAACACATACTAGAATAAAAAAGCAATCATAAGAATATGAAGCCGTGTTTCTCACTTGTAAAAACTAACAATTAATATTTCATGTCAAATTCATTTGTGTCAGCCCTTTTATACAAATGTCGGACTTTTATTTTGACTACGAAACATATCAACCGGCTAAATATTCCGGCAACTATATATATATATATATATATATATATATATATATATATATATATATATATATATATATATGTCAAATTTTCCTTTATTTGCCTCGATTAGTTTTTGTTTCACAATAATCATTAATGCATTCTAATTTCCTCTGATTGCGAAATCTGGTTCAGTTTATCATAGAAATAATACTAAATGTTAACCAATATATACAAGAATAAGATACTTTTTTTCTATAATCATCAAATAAAATCACCACAAAATTAATTATAGCGTGACAAATATCTCATTTAAAACATACCTATAAACCATCATCTCTATGAATTATTTCTTTTTATTTGACTTTGCCAATCTATCACCATAGAAACGTTTTATCAAATGTACACAATATTTATTCATTTGTTACAACAATTTTCTGTTTATTATTTGAATTGTATCTTTTTAAAAATCAGTGCATATTTCTTGGCTGTCAGTTCAGTATCATTAAGTTGATATCTGCTATTGTGATTACTACCTTGTTCTGTTCAATGCTAAATCATTCTATATATTTGAGTAATATGTTTGATATAATTTATTGGTTTGTTGTATCCTTCCGTAATGTATATCATAGCCTAGTTAGTTCGCTGAGATAATAAACCTTTAATTGATGTATCACGAGTCCGAAGTTAGCTCTCTCGTTGTCATATGATAGATATGCATACTCATAGTTAAGTAGATGGTTGTGTATATTGGTTACTTTTTTATTATTTTTATTGTAATCATTAGTGATCTGAATTGAGTAACCATTCAGAAAATCAGTATTCTTTTCATTAGTGAGGATAATCCTTACTTATTTTTACAATCAATGGCAATTACTCAGAGATTCTCAAATTTCATTGTATTATCTAAGTAAAACTATATTGTTTCTATTTATACGTTTGACTCAGTGAGAAAGAGTGAAAAAGGAGAGTTCTCCATGAAATGGGAAACACTCATTCCAGTACACTTAAGGTATAGATATAATATTGTTGATTATTAGACTCACTTAACAAAACAAGTTGTACAGTAGAATTTTAGGTATTATAATCTTTACCGTAGACTGTTTAATATGTCAATGGGGATATAGTTTCATACGCTAACGATTTTTATGTAGCGAATATTACCCGTGCTAGACAAGCACGGGTACAATGTTTTTGGTGTTTTTTTTATCAATCATCTATCTCCGTTATTCAGAATCTACATTAAACTTCATATTCATTAATTATAATAGGGTTTGGAAAAAGCGACAAATCCCAACACCGGAAATTTCAACCCTCCAAAAACTCCAGACAGATCGTCTACACATGCTCACGTCAATCAAATTTTCCTTAATCAACCTCCAAGTCCCAGTCTCCCAACATCATCAATAACCACATCTCAATCGCATTTGCACTCACCATCAACAGCATATTGGCCAGGAAATTCGTTCAGTCCATCATCACCTAATCATAGTTTACACGCTTCACAAAAAACAAATTATCCGCTCTCATCATCTTCAGTAAATGATAACAGTGGTAACTTTAATGCAAACAATTTGTTATCATATGCTACGAAACCTCCTGCTTCTAATTGTTCATCAACACGTCTGTTGAATGGAAGTAATGGCAAAACTCAACTACCAGTTCACAAACAGATATCCACTAAATCATCCAATCACGTGTCTTTCAACCTACACAATTCTCAAGGTGAGTTTTTTGTTCTAAAAATGGCAATACAATATTTTCTACCAGTTACTGTATCACATGTGTCTTTTTTGCATATCGATGTTAACTATTACAAAGACAATGAGTTTTTATTTCATTAACTACTAACCGTCAGTTGCTTTGATAATATCGGCTGAACATGCCTATCATATTTTGAAGTCGATTTTTTAAAACTTATCATATTAATGTTACGTGTTATAGCTTCACACATGGATAATTAAACCGGTTGTTTTCAGTGCCTTAAGTATTCAACAAGTTCATCAAGTCAAGGACTTACGGCAGATTTTCTCATCGTTGGGTGAGTTAGTGACGTATTATCATCATAGCTACATATTGTTTTGGTCTCTTTTGTAATTACTCTCTTCATGTTAGTCTCGTTTCTGAAACGTTATTAACAGAAATCTAAAGAAAATGACGGAAAAACTATTGATCATGATCTGAAGGATGAATCAATAAGTTTTCAATCGTCTAGTTTAGAACAATAAACTGATCAATTTCATAGACATTGCTTATGGTTAGATAGGCATTAGTGTAGATTTGATTTGATTATTAAATGTTATATGCTCTTTGATAATTTAGATTATTAGCCTCAAGAAATCCAAACAAGTTTGCTAGACGAAAAATCGAAATTATTTACATTTAAATCACTGAATTTACTTCAAATATTATTTCCACAAATACTGCATGCTACCATCTAATCCGCAATATATTTGATTAGAAATTGATACTTCTTCGTGAAAGGAGGTTAGACATAAATTTACGACGGGATCTAAAATTTTTGAGAAAGCTGTCTAGCTTTAAATGTATTCGCAACCATTTACCCATGAGATTACAACGACTATAATATGAATGAGGTTCAAAATGGATAATAGCTCGTAAATTTCTAATCCAAACCTTATGATTTGATAAAGCAGTTATATATAATTTGTTTCAGAATGTTAAAATTATGGCACAAAATAGTCCTTCTAATCAAGTATGGAATTATTTTTGAACGTAAATTGTCAGGAATCTGATCTCCGAGTATTCAAGATCCGTATAGTTTTGTGTGGCAGCACTAATCAAGTTGCGAGTATCTGTAAACCATTTCTCCTCTCACAGGTTTGTGTATCTCTTTTTTAATAGTTTAATTCATGAGTCTATCTAAGCTAGGCCACCACTGAAAACCTAAAAGCATTGAATGGACTTTCCATCTTAATGACTAGTTTCAAAATGAATTTCCTGAAGAAGCCGTGACCAGTGCAATCCAATCCATGTCGGGTATGAAGCAGTTATCCACTTCAGACAGTGGATGAAGGTTTGCGCAAGATCATGGATCGATTGAAGTTAGACATTAGCACCGTTGGATGCTAGCTTGGTAGTCTAGAAGTTAAGAATTCGCACGTGAGACCGAAGGGTACTGGTTCGAGTCTTGTGTTTGGTATCGTGAATGCACATTGCTGAGGATTCCCATATTAGAATGAAACGGCCGTTCAATTTATCCAGGTTTCCAGTGGTTGTCTAGCTTAACTCGATTCATGAGTTCAACTATTAAAATTACTATTTTCTCCATAAATCCCCATCCTGATAATATCGCATTTTTAACGTGATCAGTTTATTCGCATTTTAAAATTTCGCGATGTGTAAACATATCGTCCGAATAAATATTAACACGTGTGTAATTTACATCAACAATTTATAGTCAATGTCATACCTGTTAAACTTAATCTTTTATAGTGTGTAAACGGATATTACAAATCGATTGTTTACAAAGTATCCTGTGATACTTATAGAAAGATAATATTATTGTTATGATTATTTATTCTTTTAAGTGTCATAATAATTCAGATCATGCTGTTCTAAAAGGATACAATAATAATTCCATTTCTCTCTACCTCCCTCCCTCTCTCTGTATATATATATATATATATATATATATATATATATATATATATATATATATATATATATATATATATATATATATATATCAAGGCAATCCGCACAGGATGCACATATGCTAACAAGAGAGTGATCAGTTGCAGTCTTAAATAACAATGGGAAGACACAAGTTTTATATATATATATATATATATATATATATATATCCAGCTGAGTGTATAAAACTTAAGTTACTGTTATCTATCTGTACAACTTTCAATAATAAGCGCTTTTCTGTCTTTTAGATTACCTGTATTCTCCTAAAAGATTTATTTGTTTAAAATTTTTCAAAAACCCTAATCACAAATAAATAAATATCCCATTGTAAATTGTTCAAAATATATTAGATAATATTCTTTGGGACTAGTCATTCCACAGGTCTTAATTTTAAGGCTTCCACAGTAGTAACATGCTGATCTATTTAGACTAGAATTAAAAAGAATTAAGATCATTTCTTTAAAGTAGTGAGTTTGTGAAGGTCAATCACTCAGATGTAAAATCTCACCTCCAACTGACACCAATCATAAAGCCAATGAAAACTAAACAGATCTTCTATCCTAGCTTTAAACTACTCTGTGATAAACCTTACTTGTTATTCTGCAATGTAATTGCATTTGATGAATAACATTGGTTTTCGATTCCTTCTTCAGTCATCACTCTCTTTTCCATGGAATTTTACGGTAAGAAGTGAATAGTTTTGCAGCTCTACTTATGATAAAGGATCAATTTAAGCCTAAATTCAATAGCCAGTTAGTATATTATTATAACCTTAGGTTAAGAAGTGAACTTATTTAAAGTTATACGAGTGATCAGAAAGTGTTAAGCATTTTCCTTGATCGATTTGGTTTTTATGTTTGATGTGAAATATGATTGATCTCCTGAGTACATGTTCAACCGACAGTTGTAAAAACAGTTTGGATTTCAGTAGATAGTTCTTAAGAATTTCAAACTACTAAATAGTATCATTTTGGTAAACACTATTTTAAAACAAAATATTTACACTTCGTACACTCGTGAACACTATTCTTAATTAGTAAAATCAATCCCATTGACTTAGGTATAAAACATATAGTATTGTTTAGACGGAAACTAACAAACCATTGAGTTAATACGGTATGCCGGAATTGCTAAAAAACTAATTAGCGGTATAGCACTCTAATGCTTTATTAGGTATAACAACTCACGAATCTTACTTAAGTTTCAAACCTGATAGCATTCACTGCCAACGTTTATGTTTAAGAAGTTTGTAAACAGGTCATTGTGAATGTTATATTTGATTAGTTCTAAAATATTACCTCATTTTAAACGTAAAGTGTGACGTAATAATAAGCCGAACAATTATCTGATAAGTTAACAAGAAAATATAACCTACAAACTGAGTTGTTATCTTAACTTGGTGTCATTTTTAGTTGTATCCTCCCACTGCTATTTAAGACCGCAATTGACCAGTCTCGTGTGGGCATATTTGCAGGTACATCCAGCTGACGAGTCCCAAATAGAACGAGACGCTCGTCCTGGATTCCACTGTTAGCCACTATCAATCTTTGAGTTTTTTAACCTTTTGAAAAAAAATACTTATGTCGCCTACTTCTCTTTTTTGGTCACTTTTTTTCTTAATTTTGTTATTAATCCATTTGTTCAAAATTTTGCTTTAAAGAAAAAAAATACTACGAGTCGTTGCCTAGGCAATTTTGAATAAAATAGAGACGATTCAAATTTATTGATTTTATTTTTGATAAAACGTTAATTGTTAGAAAAATTAACCCATTTAACAGTTTCATTAATCCTTTATGTCTATCATATAATTCCATAGGTCTATCTATTGTCTGGGTTTTCTATTAAGTCGCACATCAAACTAAACATTGTATCAAGTAGGAAACATTTTATTTTGAATAAATTGATTCTTTAGTAATTTTATTATTTGTGGTTTTTGTTTAAATGAATTGTGAAAATTTAAAATAAAAAATATAAAAATAACTTGTCTGTACATAATAAATTATTAGGATTGACTGATTGTAATGTGGATAATGACCAAGTCTTTCATTTCACCTATGAAGTCAATCCATGGATAATTTATAACTCACTAACTAAAGTTATATCTTGTTTCAAGTTTTCATTCGAATTCGGACCGATTAAATGTTATACTTCGAAGTGAATGAAAAAAGAGAATTATTCATAAATTAACTTTAAAAAAAATTATATTCAATGTCAACGTAACAGAAATCATACGGATTTTGTGTGAAAGTCTGTTTAATTTATCAAATGGTTCAGTTTAGGTAACGCAATACAAATTGTAATCATTCTAAACTATAAACATTTTCATTCTGATTGTAGTTTCAATAAGGCCATCCTAGAAGTATATCATATCACAAATGTCTTAGGAACTCGTCAGTAGCTGTAAACATCTGGCTACATAGTTTGTTTCAGAACCTCAGTTTACTCCTTTCTTTGAACACCAAGAATAATTTATAATAATCTCTAACTATGATAACTAAGCTCTAGTATTTACAAATTTCATCTGTCAGAAGTATGTAAATTTACCTTACATTTAGTAATCTATTTAAGATTAGTAGGGAATTTTCACCATAACAGTCATATTAGTATTATTAACATCCGAGTTTGAAAAATTAACTTTCTTAAATATCTCATTTTCTCATTATTAAACTATCCCATCAAAAACTATACATTTGATCTATTACCAAGTAATTTATTTACCAGGTTATCTGTGTTCTCACATTTTTTGATCGAGAAAAAACGTATGTATTCAAATATTTTTGTATTATTTTGATTGATAAACTTTTCCATAGAAGTTCATGTATGGATTCATTCTTTGGATCGTGTCCTATAAACTATTAATTCAGTTACGTATTTATCGTTTATTATTACAGGATCTTCCCAATTTGTAATTGATAAGCTTAAAGCGGTAAAAATATTCCCAAACTATTAGATATCAGGTGAATTATTGAAAAATCTAGGTTTTGTAATCAAAATTACATAATTTATTTATTGAATAAGAAACCCGGTGAAATATGGACACCAACATAGGCGTCATATTTAGATAAGAA